GTTGGCTTTCTGACCCTCGTCTTGGAAGGCAGCTCTGGAGCATTTGTCACTGCTCTGGCTGGCCTGGCATATTGCCCACTTGGATACAATGGCAGGAGCATTACCATTTTTGGACCACACCCCCTGAGCCCATCAGTTTAAAGCCCTCCTGACTAAGCTGGCCAGCCTACTGCCAAAGATGCTGTTGCCTCTTTCAGACAAGTGTATTCCATCCCACTCTGGCAATTTATAATCATCAAAGAATGTCCCATTGTCCTAAAACCCAAACCCTTTGCAATAGCACCAGCCACGTAGCCCGTAATTAAGGTTCGTTATTGGTCTATTTCTGGCTGCCCCCTTTCCTCTAACTGTGAGATGGAGAAGATAACTCGGGCACTAACATTTTTCACTCATACTGAATAATGGTACAGCATATGTAACTGCCATCTGCAGATGATTGTTTTATTAGGGGGCAAAGAAATGGCAAAGATTATGGCACTCCATTTTTGTCTGTATTACAATAAAAATTATTTACATGTTATTAATTTTTTAAGAAAAAAAAGCAAAAATAAGAGGAACAATTTAACAAATTACCAACAGCCACTAACAGTGACACCAGAAAAAATAAATAAAACCAAATAATCTGGATTTGACATTTGTTTCTGTTTTTTATTGGACAACGCAGCACAGCTGAGTCTTCTTTTGCCTGCAAGATATATCTAAGTAAACTGTGTTGTGGGCAAAAACTAATACAGGGACGAACACACAGTTCCCCACATATAAGAAGTAATTCTGCAGCTAAAAAGCAAAAATCATTCCTGAGTATCTACCTGTACAGCTACACAGGCATTTGCTAATCTCTTCAGATACATTAGATATTATCCTGCCAATTTCAGACATGAAATCTAGGAAGAGCATGAGCTCCTATTTCCTAGAGTTTCTACTTCATCCAGCATCAAGTTTTCCTACTGGAACAAAACAAGTTTTTAATGGATTTTTAGAAGGTAAGTAAGCAAAGCCAGAACTCATGGATATGTCATTAATCTGGGACAGACATCATCTCCATTACTGATTTAACATATCTTTTGGCTGGAAGAAAAGCAGACATTTTCTGCCATGCAGTAAATGAATTTCCAAGGAACATGCAGCAACAGCCTACCACATACAGAAAACTGATTGATCAGAAGTGGCTAACAAGTTCTGATCAATACTGCAGGACCATGTGAGTGACAAAAACAGCTTCCAACCCTGCTATTAGACCTCAGGAATCTGTCATTGAATCACAGAATAGTTTGCGTTGGAAGGTGCTTTTAAAGGTCATTTAATCCAGCTCTTCTGCAATGAGATGGGCCATCGTCATCTAGATCAGGTTGCTCAGAGACATGTCCAACCTGAGTTTAAATGCTTCTAGGGATGGGGTATCCACAACTTTCCTGTTCTAGTGTTTCACTGACCTCAACATAAAAAATGTCTTCCTTATATCTAGTCTGAATCTATTCTCTTCTGCTTTAAAACCCTTACCCCTTGTCCCATCATTACAGGCTCTGATTCCTTGTCCCTAGCCTTTCTTATAAGCTGCCTCCAAGTATTGAAAAGCCACTAAAAGGTCTCCCCAGAGCCTTCTCTTCTACAGACTAAACAAGCCAAATTCTCTCAGTCTGTGCTCATAGGAGAGGTGCTCTGGCCCTCTGATCGTTTTTGTGGCTCTCCTCTGGACACGCTCCAACAAGTCATGCCTATCCTGTACTGAGGAGTCCAGAGCTCGACATAGTACTCCAGGTGGGTCCTCACCAGAACAGACTAGATGGGAAGAATCATCTCCCTTCACCTGCTGGACACACTTCTTTTGATGCAGCCCAGGATATAGCTGGCTCCCTGTAGTTGTTGGCTCTCTACAGCTAGCTGAAGGTGTGTATTGCTGGTTCATGTCCAGCTCTTCATCCACCAGCACCCCCAATTCCTTCCTGCTAGGGCTGCTCTCTATCCCTTCATCTCCCAGCATGTATGGATCCTGGGAGCTGCACTGATCTAAGTGCAGGACTTTGCACTTGGCCTTGTTGAACTTCGTGAGGTTGACATGGGTCCACTTCTCAAGGTTTCCAAGTTTCTCTGGATGTTAGAAACAGTTCAGAGAACACATTACATTCTGAACTGAAGCCTTACTGGTTACTGCAGGTCCTGTCAGGTCTCTTTCTTCAATGTTTCAGTGTTTTACAATGTAATGTTTTTTCAGTTAACATTGAAAGATTTGCAACTGCATGTATGTGGCTACTCTTTTTACACTGAATGGAACTCAGGGGAAAAAAAATCGAAATGAAACCTTCTACAAATACTTAATATTAAACTTAACTAAATACAATATTATTAAAAATGGTTAATTAAAAAAACCTCTAAAACTTAAAAAGATATTTAAAGCAAACTCAGTAAGAAGTAGGTAACAAAGCTGATTAGGTAAGTATTTAGGTAGCCATTAAAAAAGAGCCATTGTTAAGAATTCCATAAGAAGCCAAAAAAACCTCAAAGCATTTCTGCTTGAAAGAAATGTTAATTGTACCACAAAACCAGTGTTAAACTCAAGAAGCCCCTGTCTACCGTGACTTCAGGTGACAGAAATTAGCCACCAGAGGGAGCTCACATAAGCTGGTACAAACGAAATCGCCAGACAAAGAGAAATTTCAGAAATGCAGATAAAAGTTTAAGAAAATAATTGTTTATATCTAGAAAATTTTACTGCAAATTGTTTATAGGCCATGTAACAAGGCAGGCCTCCTCGGTACTTCATTTCAGATTCATTCTTATTTTTATAGCTATAAAGGCAAGTGAACTCTGCTATGAAGAACTGTAACTATAGCTAGAATATACTGAAATAACTGAATTATTTTGTTATGCATTACCTTTTCAGTATATTTTTTTCCCCAAACTCAGCATTTCAGAAAGTGTCCCACCATCTAGCTTAGTATACTAGCCCACAAATGAAGTGGAAAGGATAAGGCCTACACAGTACGGGGAAATTTTAAAATATTTCCTTCAAACAGATTTAGGACTGGAATCTTAAGCAACAGTGACATCCATGAGATATTTTTTCTATATTTGTTTTGTAGAAACAGTAAGTATCATTTTTACATTGAATATTTAGATTTATCTGAGTACCTATCTCCTTCTTCAATCTTAATAATAAATACATTATACACAAAAAGACTTCCAGCATTTGCTCCATGACTTAAAATACCTTTCTATTAAGAACAGTTCTTAAAGGCAGAAAAGCTTTTTTTTTTTTTTTAAAATCAAGAAAATGCAGTCCTTACTTTCCAGTTCATTGTTAGAAGGCTGATACCTCATTTTGCCTTCCAAATCTTTGTAATTTTCAAAACTGTATGATTCTAAGTTAATAAGATAAATATAATAGAAGCAGGAACCACAATTAACAATCATAACAGTCTGTGTTTCTAGTCTGACACTTTACAACTTCTTGTGAATTTGTACTCTTTAGTGTTGAATTTGCCTGTACTTCCCCTTGGCACCATGACTGCTTTACAAAGTTGATAACAACACGATAATTTAACATTGTAAAAGAAAATTCAAGGGGCAAACCTTTCCACACTAAACACGCTGATCTTTCCTTAGAATACTTCGCTGTTAAAAAGAATTGAAGAAATCAAAATCACCTTGGCAAACGCTTTTATTTGGCTTCAGAGAATACAAATGGGATCTGAAGGACTCCGTATAGTAGCAAAGACTGTGTACAACTCCTCATATTAAATTAAAAAGGTATGTGTTACTTTTCTTAAGATTACTATGTTGCCTAGCAAAAGCCGGCACTAATAACTGGGATGACTTGAAGTGCACAGAGTGCTAGTATACAGTAGCCAGGGTCTTTGTAGTCCAGGGAGTCAGAATCCTAAATGCAAGGTAGAGATGCCTAGCCATAACATCTCAGCAATAGCTAGTCAAAGAGGTACGGACGCTGAATTTTCACATCTTTGTCCTGATTTCAGGCTAACTGAACTTGCATCCCTGAAGTTCATACTTTTTCTTTCTTAATCTTCACTGATACTTACAAAATACACAGTAAACTTTTGAAAATTTCATATAAAACCTTACCTCAGCCCACTTGGACATCAGCATTAGTGGATCACAGAAAGAATATGAAACAATGTTATGTTAAAAACATCTCACAGAGGCATTTTAAGATATCTAATTACAGCTAACAACGTCCTATAAATTCTCAAGATCCACTCCGTTATGTACACTCTGGTTCTGAAAAAAACCTTTGGGCTCCTATACTAGAAGACAGAGTTGCTAGTCAGGACTCCCAGTGCTGAAGACAACAGAAAAGAGTACTACAGAATTCCTGTACTCACACCCAAATAATAAAGTGAACTCTTTATTCTTCCTACAATACTGGATACACAATACTACGGGATTGTCTTCCTATGCCAGTACAGGAAAGTCTTATACACCACACCGAACAAGCAGTACTTTCAGAAAGTACTACTAAATTTTATGCTTAGTAAATAAACAGCCTATTAAAAGAGATAATTTTGTAAGCTAACCAGATAAGCTGATGCAACCGTTTCAACAGTTCAATAAGCATTTTTCTGGATATCTGTTTGGAATCCATCCACAAATTCATAATAAAGTTTTTAAATTTATGCAGAAACAGATAGCAAACAACACATAGTTTGTGCAAGGGACTTTAGTTTCTTGACATATTATTTCACTCATGTACCAAAGAACAGTATAGTTAAAAGTTAAAAGCTCCCTTAGATGTCTACATAGAAGGACTCAGAGCTACAGATTGTTGTGTTTTACAAACACAAATATTACAAATGCATAATAAATAGTCTTATCAATTTCTCCAAATCATCTAATATCAAAGCTAATGAATTCTGAGAATTTGAAATTTTAAGTATATTAATAATAGAACACACAAACACATAGGGAGCTTGACTATTTATTAGGAATGGAAATCTACAGTTGTAAAATTAACATTTCCTACTCTGTTATTTTTAATCTCTTACCAGGTCTTTCCTTGCCAGTTCCTTTTGACTCTGCAAATTTCTGTATTAAACTCTCAACTGTAGTATTTGCCATGTTATTAATAAACTCTTCATGCACCTTCAAAAAAACCACATCACACAAAAGGAATTTAAAAGCCAGTAATGGAAAGAATGTAACTTTAAAAAGTGGTTTTCTCTAGAGTTCAAGTTCAAAATACTTCCCCTCAAAAATATATTACAGGGTTTCCAGAAACCAACATTTTATCAAAGAAATCCCATCATTGTTTGAGTATTAACAAGTGTGTACATCACAGATACAAATTAGGAATGAAAGACTACAGCTTGATGAAGAGTCTAGGATCTACTTCCATTTCTTCCATCTAAACAACTTGTATATAAAATTTTCCGAATTTGTCAGCAACATGTCCCACTACAACATCAGGAAGACGAACAGTCTGGCAGCCTTTTAAGCCAGCAGCAGTTAAGGGTGTGAACTGTCACTACTGTATTATCACAGCTTCCACCTGCTTGAGTAAAAACATTACTGTTGTAACGTCTTTGGTCTGACAAAGGAACAACCCCATGTTGTTAATGAGAATTTTTTTCCAAGAAGGCAGTATGCATATGCTTTAAAAATAAATTGCATGACTCTTATGACCATTCATTAATTAGCAGAGAACCTCAAAACTGAGGAAAATAGTGATTCTAAGTGTACACAAATAAAACTACACGTCAAAAACCTCTAAAAATTAAGGGCTACTTATAAGAAATATTAATTAACCCAACTTGCATCTAGAGAAAAGATACTATAAAACCTCGTTACTGAAGATCTTTTGCTCATAAAACCTGAAGTGTATCAAAAATTGGGAAACTTTCCAGAGTGAATAAAATTCAAGGTTTATTCAAAGAAAAGCACAAGTATCCCCATCATGTGTGAAAAAAGTGCTAATTCAATATCTAAAGAACAGAACTTTGAAATACACTAAAAATTCTTCAAATTGTCAAAATATTTTGTTTTCTGTTAAATAAAATGTATCCTGATTTATTCTGTAAATTTTGTGATACTGAACTTATAAATGACATTAAAAGAAATGGGTTTATGTTGAATTTACCATCATTCAAAAGATGTGATCTTGTAATTACCACAAACACAGTAAGACATGTTCCATTTAATAGTTAAGAAAAATATGTAGCATAATCCAAATAAACAAATGATAATATAAAAATTACCTCTCCTATTTGTAAATGAATTTCTTTTATGGTATTTGACAATGATTCTATAATTTCTTTCATACGAAGAAGGTGCATTTCTTCAATGTCTTGAAATTTCTGTAAACCAATACCAGCAATTAATCATAATGGAAATATTTACTGAAATACTGAACTATAAATTTTAATAAATAAATACACTAAATGGAAAAAAGAAACTTTATTTTTCTTCCCAGATCTTGATCATGATAATTACAATGTTTAAGAGAGGTGGTGAATTCACAGAGTTATGAAATAATGTACTTTAAAATACAATATATTATTTTAAAACCATTATCCATTTTTTTAAAAAATTCACTCTTAGAACTTCCATCTATCTTGATTTTTAAAAAAATCTGACCTACTTCTACCAAAAGAAAATAGAGGATGTTTAAAAAAATATATCTTCTCTCCATTACTGAAAAGTCTCAACTTTTCATCTAAATCCAGAAGTCTTAGTTCTGGCTCTGTTTTGGATTTCCTTCTTACCATTCTGTCCTCCTGCTCACAATATACACATGCATCAACAAAGCAGTTGAAAACTGTTTTTCTCCATCAGCCTTCCTCTTAATTACAGAGGATATGGTCATCACCAGTAGACTACTCTTTAACGTTACCTCTTTTACCAATTGCCTTATTATATAAACTGTATTATTTTGCTTTCAAAACTGAGTCCGCCTCCATGACAGCTGTCAACACATGTACGCAATGTGTCCTTCCATTGTGTGCTTGTTTCCACTACCTCATTATGAGCCAAACACACAGTCCACTTATAAGATTATGCCAGCGATACTTCTGTCATGTTTGGTTTGAGCTCTCCATAAAAGTCTGCAAAACAGAGGTACCAGTTTCCTTTAAACTCTCCTCTATAATGCATATCAATACAGCTGGCCATTCATAGGTATTTTTTGTCTTTAATTTCAGTGGAAAGCACCCCTCTTCCCCAACTGTTTCCTTATTTCTTGTTTATTCTTTTATAGTTGAGATTTAAAGTCTTCAATGTACAGACATCTTGGCCTTGAGGAGCACATATAATACAAAGGGTTTCTAATCAAAGAATAAAGCTAGACATTATAATACAACCACATCATTCTTATCACAGAGATAATCATTAACCAAATATTTTACCTTCACTTTTGAAAGATCAATGCATTTTAAAAAGATGTACTGAAATTAATCTGTTAATAACCCAACAAATGCAAGCCGCGTCATACTGTTTTAAAACATAATGCAACTGAAAAACCATAACTGATGGGAACTTTAGCTGTCAAAGTCAGTATATACAGTTTAATTAAGCATTACTCCATTTTATAAACAGGTATGTTTCCCTGTAAGCTTTCCAATGTTTTTTTTAAAACGAGTTATTGCTCATTCTTGAACTTTATTTCAAGTTAACAGCAACATCATCTAAACTCTACTCAGTCCTAGGTAAGACAGAAGACTTTTAAAAAGTAACTTAGCATTTTCAGCTATATTTTCCAATAATTGACTTTGTTATATCATTAAAAAAAAAACAAACAACTTCTACCAAGGTGGAAAATCTGGCAAATAATACATGATATTTTCTTAGTAACTGCATAGCAATTGCATAATACAACTATAGCTTTACTCAGAAAATGTTTTTATCCAATTTCTAAACAACAGCAAACTATATTTTCCCACTTCTTTAATCACAACAAAACCTTCCATGCTTTTTTTCAGAAAAAATCATAACGTGCAATTCAAGATTAGGAAGATTGTATCTTTCAAAATTCAACCTCTCAAAATCAGGTATCACGAGTCATTTTGCTTTGGTAACTGCAGGTAAGATAGTATATGACAAAAGATAAAAATACAAAAATTTCTGCAACAAGATCGGTGGAGTTTAAGAGGAGAGGACAGCTAAGTGAGGACATTACTACATGATTACCTAGAATAACACCACAGCAATTCAAGATGAACGTCCTCAAAAATACAGTATGGGAACAGTGTGAGACAGATTTAAGCTAAGCCGACTGATTTTGCACTGAACAGCTGAGAATGCTCACCCTCCTCACTGATTTTGCTTTCAGAATTAGTATATTTTCAATGAAATGTACTCTAAATTAATATAATCTAGGGTGTGCTTTGTACAGAATTGGGCTTTCACATACTCATGGGTGTTATTTTTCCAACCGCATCACCTTTAACGTAGCCCTCCTGCAATTACACGGCAGGTGCAGCCACGCTATTATACTTGAAGCAAATCCCACTGGCCGAATGGCAATTCTCATTTCCAGTGTGGACAAATGTGGAAAGTTTCCAGGTGTCCATTATCACAATAAGTGAAAATTTAAAGTAGAAGTGTTGGTGCAGTTAGGGAACTAAGGACATTTAAACAAACGTGGCTTGTAGCAAGAGGTAACTTTGTACCATTTTTGTATTGAGAAAAAAACCAACCCAACCAGATCTCAACTTTCCCCTTCCCCCTCTCCCCCACAACCACCAGAAACCAAAGCAGCCCAGAAGCATAGTGAGTTTTCCTTGCTGTAACATCTGATACAGTAAAAACATTTTCCTCTCCACACATCTCAGCCTGGTTTAAATACATAATACCCACCTAATAACACAAATTAGGCTGAACAAAGAGCACCTTCGTATTTTGTCTCTAGAAACAAAATAAGCTGTTACTTTTCTCATTCTTTTCTTGTAATGGATTGCTCAAATGAATTCTTTTTTTTTTTTTTTAAGTACAAAATGAAATGTTGAGCTAGTTTGTTTGCTGAAAGCCCCTGCATTTTCCTTGCCTAATTCACTGACAGTAAAACACATTTCAAATACTCTTCATGTTTATCTTCTGTCAGTTCGAAACATGAATTCCTTTTCATTACTCACATCTTCCCTGCTCACTGGGGACAATTCTACAGTGCAGTTAAGCAAAGCCAGCTTATTGAAGCCATATTTCTTAATTTTTTTAAAAAATTGTTTCAGAGAGCAATAAATCAACTGCAATAAACACAGCCTCTTTTGGTAAGGTAAGGAACAGAAACCAGTGAGCTTTTGTGAGACTAATTAAAGATTTATAGCAACCTGACTAAACTTGCTGTGCTGTGCATCAGAAGGATTAACAGAGTCTGTTTTTAGGGGGTTCAGTAACTTCTAGAGCAAGGCAAATAAACAGGGCAGGAACACCTTGATCCAGAAGAGCCACACTTGTATGCAACTTCAGAGAAATAAATGGAACAGTTCAGTATTTTTTCTGGTATTGATTTCTTTGTAGCAAAAGGTGTAGTCTATGGCAAAAGTCAGGCTGCACTATAATTTGTACAAATCAAACGATGACAAATGTACTGGAACACTGACTGAGCAAATATGTTAATTACATTAACAGGAATACTACAAAAAAATTATCATTTTGGGTAGTAGCAGTATGTGTTCACATATGAGTTTGATTGTACCTACTCTTATTTCTGGAAGTTCTCCAGGAGTAATGTTACACTCCAATAATTCTTTGGTTGCTACTATATTACACTTGTTTCCAATAACTAAGATACATAACAGTTAAGTTTAAAAACGGTGCTTAGTCCCAAAATTCTCAGGTGATTCTAACCACATATACCAATTTCAGTCATAATCCCAGTCAAATTATCTAGGGATGACTGATATGCAAATATTTTAAGTTACAGTGAAGAGACACACAACGCTAAGGCAAGAGATGTAAATGTGTAAGGTGGACACACGTGCAAGTGAGTCCAGGTCAGTAGCACAGGTTAAACCACCATAAAGATGAAATTATCTACCCTTGGTACCACATTATCTCTGCCTGTGTGCCAGCCCTAGCGCTTGCGTGATCTCTTAATAAACCAGACTGCAGATGTCTTCTGGGAATACAGCTCCTCCAAACAGAACAGAGTCAGGATACTGCACAAAAAAAACCAACTTCTGCAAACTCTTCAAGGAAAGGTTGTCATGACTCCTAACATAACAATCATTTTAAAAGCTGAATTTTGCAGCAGCATGCCTGAGCACTACAGTATTGCAAATGCCTGGACCATTTGCAACCAGTGGGTGGGAAGAGTTCTGGCATGTGATACATGTGGTACCCTTTCTCTAACAGCTGTGTTGAGCATCTATTTATTCAGAGATGAACTAGATCAAATTCCAATTAAGTTCTCAAAGTACAGAAGCAGTCTATGGTTTATGACATGTCAGCCTACACAATCCCCACGCTGTGAAATCTTAATTTCCAAGCAGTGAAGCAAAAAAACCTAACTGTTTGCCACTTAGGTTAAAAATACAAGACTAAATGTTCCTAATAATTCCATCTATGCCTAAAAATTAATTTACAAAACAAATGAAAAGAGCAAAGACTTTTCAAACAAAAAGAAAATTAAGAACTTGCAAAAGCTTTACTGAGCCAAGAAACCCACACAAATAAATATGCGAACCAGTTCTTGAGTATTACTACTAAAAGCAAAAATGAAGTTTGTTTTCTGAAATCTAGGGGATAGTGGAAAAAAATCTGCTAAGAATAGATTTGAAAAAGAAACTTAGAAATGTAACAAGAAGCAACATACACAATGATACCAAGAACCTGATATCCTCTGGAAAATAGATTAAAAATCTTAAAAAAAATCCCAGTAACCTGAAAAGATAAAAGAGCTTTTCACAACCTCAGGTAAACCCCAAGAAGACACTTTAGGAAGCTGTAACTAAAGTGCTTTGCTGGAATGATAACCAAAAAACCATGTTTGAACCCAATATTAGAACTCCTATGAGTGACTTCTTGGTGTCCAGCAATTCACAGAATTTTCCACATGATCACAGTGCATCTACAATACTTCCAGGAGTTAATTTTATTTTCTCCCTAAAAATTTCTTCACGAAGTCTTCCTAGAGTGCTTGTGCTCACCCATGGTATTCAAGGATTGCCATCACAACATACATAGACAGTGTTTACCCTTCAGAGATATTACTTTTGACACTAATGTTCATATCAGTTTCCAAAGGAGATCATTCTATCTTGAACAAATTTTTTAAATATTGAAATTTCAGATGTCTTCAGAGATTGAATAGCAAATATTAATCTATTATAATGGTAATTATATTAGATATAATTATAGATAATTTATATATAGATAGATATAATCTAATATAACACTTACCTGTGCAGTTTCTGTCATTTTTTGTTCAAAATCAGATTTAAATGCAGCATATTTATCCACATATAGTTTATAGGTATCTGTAGCTTTTTTTGATTTAACTGCTGCCTGTAGATCAGTAAAAAAGTATCAAATGTCACACATACAATCTGACCCAAGGTTTTCAAAATTACTATTAAAAGAAAGCTTGAGATAATCTATGAAAAAATTTTCAGGAGTGTATCAAAACAGTGACGTGTCATAACAAAATTTCACCACCAAGTAAGCCAGATCCAAGTCTTTAGAGATTTCTATTCAAAGCTATGCATAAATCACATTAAAAGGTAACAAAGTTACTACCTCATTTAAATCCCTTCCTTTTATCAACAATGATAATTTATAATTATTTTGAAACAAAATTTGTATTGCTGAAGTTAACTAATTAGCTCTTGTCAAATATTTAGATTTGCAACAGAAAAAGAGGAAGAAAGTAGGGCTGTAATACAGACCAAACAGTTATTTGTGCAACTTTGAAAAAGCCAAAGGTAAAAAAAAAAAAAAAAAAAAAAAAAGGACATGCAGTTCTCTGTTAGAAATAGAGGAAGAAATTAAAAAGTACAGGTGCTACCTCGATGGAAATTTTAAGATTAAAAGATATTTGGAAGTGAATTTAATACAGAACATACTGTCGGCCAGATTTATGCACCTTACTGTTGTTTATAATAGTCCTTTTTGGCTTTATAATTTATTGATTTTTTTTTTCCTTCATTATTTGTTGTTAATAAACCAAAATCATCTTTCTGGGACATCCTTCTGTCTTTTTCTTAAAAAAAAAAAAAATAATGGAGAATCCCAATACTACATGGAGAACAAAACTGAATGAAGTGAGTGATTGTGGTAGAGGAAAGTTATTTTCCAAGTTTACAGCATGACACTGAAGATGGAGTTAAAACTCTGATATTCTCACTATTCCCAAGTTCTAAGTTAACAAAAATAAAAATTGTCTTAAACACCAGCTTTTTTATTAGCTTCTTTGTTCAAGGTGCCTACTTTATCTTATGGAAATTTCCCATCTCTTGTAACTCAAAAGTATTCCTGAATTGTTAATGACATTAGTAAAGACAGCTGTATATTTGCTGCTGCTTCTTCTAGTTCTGAACAGCACTCCTTCCCTATTTCAAATCAATTTCATCTGTCTCACAGTATAAACAAAAACTATTTCTCACTTGCAATGACCTGAAAAGGTGATCACTACATATAGCTTTCAAATTAATTAATGAAAGATGCCCTCTGGAAAGAGAAAGTTATATTCCGCAATTCCCAACAGAAAAACAAATTAAAATTGTAAGTAATTGTACAGCATTAATGCTTGTTCAGCTAGGAAAACATCAACCAGGACTTCAAAGGAAGAGGAACCAAAGCTACAGTTCCATTTTTTCCAGTTGCAAAGAAAGCTTAAGCAGATCTTAGTCACATAGTCTTCTAAATCCAGCATAACAGATCCAGAAAATACTTCACTGTATGAATAATATATATCCTTCAGGCATTAAAAAGAGAGCATAACAAGTTGTATCGAACCCATCGGTTACTTGTCCGGAATGGTCCTTCATGATTCTCACTCTTGCTTTTAAAAATAACTGACTGCTTTGCAATTAGATGATTCCAAACATAACCATTGAAAAGAAAGGAAATACCAAGTTAAAAGACTACAAAAATATGAGATTTTTTTTTTTGTAAAGCATTATGTAATTGCACATGATATGCATGGGATTTTGACAAAATTCAAACATGCTCTGTCTCCTGTAATTGTGTTAATGATGACCAGAATCTGATGTTATATGCTGAAGAGCATCTACCAAAACCAACTACTCAGCAGGACAGACAAAACAATAAACATGTGAACATTGTATGATTAACTAGCAGTCTCTTCTGAAAACAGGATGCGTCCGTTCTCAGGTGCAGTAACTGCTACAGCTCTATTTAGCAGATTTACAGTAAGTGAAAGAGTAAGAATCAGTCAAGAATTTTTGTCAAGTCACTACGAATAGAGAAGTTCACATATCAGGGAACAATAGGAAATTATTACACAAGTTTTCAGCTGCAATGAAAATTGCGATGTCTCAGATACCTCCTCAGATTCTTCAACAAAGTGTTTCTCCAAATATTTGGCTTTGTGATAAGCTCTTACCATATTGGTACAGATCCCCTACTTTCTGATAAAACAATTATTCTGCAATTTTGATAGGAAACATTTTGCATTGTGTTAAACGCAATAAATCTATTCTCTGCCAAAGGAAAAACAAATGAACACGACCTTTGCCATCATGTTTCTGAAATTACCAGTGTAAATTTGAATAAAGGCAGACTAAAGAGATGTCATAGTCACAGTTACCTGCTCCCATAGGAAACATTTTTTAAGTACTTGTAGAGCATTCAACTATGACCTAATTTTTCAAATACAAGTATCTAGGGAAGATGTATAAAACAGTAAAAAATGGTCTTTATCCTACAGTGCTTCCTCTTTCTCCTTTCTCATGCCACATTAGTCAGACTCAACATTTGTTTCCAACTGAACAAGAATAATGTTAATTAAAAACAAGCCTTCCATCAAGTCAACTTTTCCTACTGAAAAGTTTCAGTGTATTTACAAGAATTCAGAAAAATTACAGCTTGAACAGACTGGCAGGAAAAACATCTGCCACTCATATAACCATGATTCATATCTAGAACACAACATTGACTACCACTTGAGGCAGAAGCTAGGAAAAAAAGCTAGATTTATATCAAAGATGAAACTATCAAAACATGGCCAACAGGATCACTTTTGTCATCAGTGAAGACAATAACCAACTCTATATGCTCATCCTAGAGAGCAGTATAAAGGGCATTAAGATCATTCTAACAAGAACAGAGTCCTACACAGAAAAGGTAACTGAACTGGAAATACGCAGAGGCATCAAGATTTAAAAAGAGAAGATGGTTACAGACAGGAAAACAAGACATCTTTCCAATACTAAGTTTACTGAAAACATGAAAAACTTAGTGATGCCAGCAGGTCAAGGGAGATGATCCTTCCCCTCTACTCAGCACTGGTGAGGCCACACCTGGAGTACTGTGTCCATTTCTGGGTTGTCCATTTCAAGAGAGAAATTTCATGGACACACTAGAGACGGTCCAGCAAAGGGCGACAAGGATGACAAAGGGTCTGCAGCGTGTTTCCCGTGAGGAAAGGCTGAAAGAGCAGGAACTGTTCAGCCTGGAGAAGAGAAGGCTTAGGGGGATCTTACTGATAGATGTAAATACCTGAAGGGAGGTTACATAGAAGATAGAGCCAGGCTCTTTCCAGTGGTGCCCAGTCACAGGACAAGAGGCAATGCCTGCAGACTGAAACACAGGAGGTTCCCTGTGAAGATCAGGAAACACTTTTTTTCCTGTGAGAGTGACTGAGCATAGATACAGGTTGCCCAGCAGGGTGATGAAGTCTCCACCCTTAGAGATCTTGAAAAGTCACCTGCATGTGGCCCTGGACAACTGGCTCTAGGTGGCTCTGCTTGAGCAGTATGGTTGGAGAGGATAACGTTAATGGTCCCTTCCGACCTCAGCCTTTCTGCAGTTCTGTGAATGGATCAAACTTCCTTATAATCCAAGGACAGTACTAAATAAAACGTCAAGATGCTCATCCCCTGGGCTTTTGGTCCATGAAATTGGAACTCTTTAAATTAGCACTAAAGGAACGTTAACTAGTTTTTCTACTCAATGGAACAGACTTCAAATACTTGTCCCTTCAATGAGACAAAGAAGCTAATTAGACAACAGAAAACCTCCTACCTCTTAATTCAATGACAAGGGCATTGAGCATTTGAATATTTACCTGAGGAAATTTATGTCAAAAGATAATAGATGGTGAAACAATTATATACCACTTCTGTAAAAGCCACTACAGAAAATCATCATATGAAGCAGGTACTCACAAAACAAAGAATTAGAACTGCAGTGCAGTTAGAACAGATAAGGAAGTAAATGTAAACAAAAGATAACTAGGCATTCAGAATATCATGCACATTATGAAATAGCCACAACTATGACTTTTAACTACTTTTAGCCCTTTCAGAGCACTTCACTTACTAATAAAAGGTGAACATTACTGACTGATAGCACAATGAATTTAAGTAAGATGTCACACAACTACCTTATCAACTTCACGCTGTGTTGCTCCTTCCTTTTTCAAACGTTCTTGTTCAACGCACTTTGCATTGTAATTTTCCTTTGATTTCTGTAAGGCCTGAGTGATACTTTGAATATTTTGTACTGCTTCCAATGTTCCTGACACATCTTCTTTAGTCTGCCAAATATCACAATTGTCAAAACCAAATAATCTTAATTATAATATTAGCAAGTCATTCAACATGCATAAGAAAAAAATAAATTACCTTTTTATAAGCCTTGATTTGTTCATCTCCATACTTGTGAACTTCTTTTATTAGCTCTTGTAATCTCCGCACAAGATCCAAGTGACAGCTTGCTAGTTTTTCTGTTGAGGTTTTGAAAACATCCCAAACTGGCGCAAATGTCCTAAATTGACAAAACTAATGTTTAACATTCATCTGGATTTTTTCCTTCTAGATTATGATTAGGTTATGATTTTTTTTAATAGTGCTAAAGTATAATTGGTAATTTTACAGAAGTCCACTTCTGTTCCTAAAACTGAAAGAAACAATGCCCAAATGACTGCTCTAAGTTCTTACTGAGAAGTTTCAAATGTACTCAGTGTCCTATCTACTAATTTTTCCATATTTTGTTCTACCTGTACTGACTCTAATGAATTAACCACAAAAAAATGTTGACTTTATCTTCTTTACCATCAGCACAAAATAATGCCAAGTGGTATTCCTAAAGATGATGCAAGAGCAGATCAAAACAATTTTAACATGTAGCAGTATTTCTATGTGTACACTTGAACAGTGCAAAGAAATGAAAAAAAATGTTTGGTTAGTTAAGTTTCTAGTTCTCTTACATCATTATTGCCACAGGACACAGTAAAAAAAAATATTGGCAAAGATGGTCTGCCACTAAAAGGGACTTACTGATTAAGAAATTAACCATATGGCAAAGAAGGTGAGGGATGGGTAATTCCTCAGAATCAGCTCTCTATGTTGAATAGACTTCTCCAGCTATTCTAAGGATACGCTCCTATCTGCTTCCTGGTTAAGCTGTTGGAAAACCAGTACTATACGTAGCCCTGAAAGCACCAACATTCAACAGGCAGATATGGAACCTTTGAAGAGCAGCGACAACTGGTATCAAATTATTCACTGATGAAACCTCCTCACATTTCTAGCTGTGATTACCAGATAAAAGAATCTAGCCTCATCTAAGAAGTCTCAGTTCTCATTGGCATATATAATGAAAAAAACATCCATTAATCGTTCTAGTTTTAAAAAACATACCGCCTTGTATAAAGCTTTCATTAAACTAGGGAATAAGTCTTCTGAAAAGTCTCATTCTTAACATTTCTGAGGAAAACGACTACCCTCCAGAAAGCAGAAATAACAGAAATAAATAAATCTACTGCCACATTTGTAGAACATAAATACTCTCTTCAGAATAAGTACCATAGGTGTAGGAGCATAGAAGAGAAAGTCACATTGTTTATTATGTCTGAAAAGAACTGAACCTTAAATGCACAGGAATGGACACTTCCTCCACATTAGGGCTTTTTTTTCTTGAATAAAGGACCGTACTATCTTTGGTTTTGTCGTAGGCTGCGTGATATTTTGTACGGTTGATGAAGATCCAACAATCATTTTTGAAGGCTGCAAATTTATGCTACCTTCAACACCATCAATATATTCAGAAAAACTTATCCATTGTATTTATTTACTTATCTCTTATGTACGCTTACTCACCCAAGTTGTGTGTAATTGCTCGCCGATTTGGCTAGTTTTGTCATTGACCTTGAATATGCCTCCTCTATTGTAGCCCTGTCAAAGAAAGCCATCAAAAGCATACTTGAAATTTTGAAGATATGTCAAGACATATTTCAAGACTATATGTAGTCTAAAGGTGCAAAAGAGAGCACTTTTTACTTTAGCCAACAACGACCCCTTAAAAACTACACATAAAATCAGTGTAAAATTTGAAAAGAAATTATAAGAAACCTGTGATAGAATGTTGCAGGGAACAGAAAAAAGTAAATCCAAAGGACTCAAGACTTGAAAAAGATGATCCCTTCCTTCCTATATTCTCTGCTGTTCCCTCTGCCTTTAACATTCTTTAGAGGTCAGAAAAGAGTGACATAACAATCACCTACAATTTACAGAGCAACAAAATCCAATAGATTTGTAACACAAAAATTAAATTGAACAAAATGAATTCTCACTGAGCAATCACATTGAATACCTTGGGGTCTTTTCATAGAGGTGTAGAGGCTTTTATGTATTTGAAGTTCTTTGCTTAGTGATACTTGAGTTTGGTAAACAGTAAAATAACATGCAATGAAAAGTACTGTGTACTACCATTTACACTAATTTTTAAAGAAGGTTGTCTCTAATACATTCTGATTTATTTTGGAAAACCTCTTCCCTACATAAAGTTTCATTATGTTTTCCCACACTTAAACCCACAATTTTACTTGTCCTTTGGAGATTCCTTAAAGCCTCTGCTGGGCTATTGCCATGGGCTAGCAGTCACACACAACACATCACAGCAGTGACTCCCTGTAAGCCATTACCCCATGACTCTTCCTCACCCAGATATTACTAAGGTAAGGATACACAGTATTTTAATTTTCCACACCAAATCAGTATTCAATATGTAGTGTCAACTTAGATTTAGAAGCATCCTGGATTTGAGCAAATACTGTAATTGACGTTTCTTAAAAATGCAAAAGCCTGAAGCAATTTCTTTCCTGTCATGTAATACCCTTAATTCAGGGATAAAAGAAAAAAGGGGATGTGAAGAATTCACACCTCTCTCAATTGTACAATGATCACAATCACTTACTGCTGAGGCAGAGGTTTTTATTTCTCATTTACCTCAACACTTGCGAATCAAAAATAGTTTTCTTATGAAAATATGAAACAAAGTAGCAGGAGTCACCTGAAACTGAGGGACCTGTATTTAAACTTCCTGAATTTCCAAAATAACTATCCACTCAGTTGCACAAGGGGGGGAAGGGCATTAAACTGTAAAATGCAGTAACTAGATAACATCTTAAATCTCGCCTACAAACAAGGACAAAGTTATTTACCATAAAAACACCCAATTAACTTTTCTCCTTCCACATACATACATACTTTTGATGATAAGAAAATTTTAAGTTTCCAAGGATTGGAATCTTGCTTATTGCAGAGTAACAAGCACATATGCACAGACAACCAGAAAAGACACTGATGTTTATCTAATTAGCACGATGAACAATATATTTCGATTAATTAACAATACCTTTTATCAAAGCTTTCTAGACCTGGTAGCTCAGTGCCTTTTTTTTCCCCCCTTCTTTTTTAAATGCAAGATTTCTCACCAAAAATCACACCTCTTTCTTTAGAGCACTTATCAGCACACTCACCTGACCAATATCCACAAAGCTGGAGTTCTGCAATTTACTACAGAGTATCAATATGTAACAGTTACAAATACTAACAACCAAAAGAGGCTGCTCCTGACCAGCTAGGCTTCTATATCTACAGTTGTCCTATCAACTCACTTTCACCCTGATGTATGGGTAAAACATTATGAAAGCCCTTGTAAATTAACTTTCACGCATTTAAAAATCTGTCTTGGGATCTGTTAAATGTTTAAAAGTTAAATGGGAATATATGCATTGCCAGCTTCTTCTGAGCAAGGAGATTCTTTTTATGATGCTTACAGGCAAGCGGTGCAGATCTACCAACACTGAGCAGATTGCCTGCCACAAATTCACTCTTTCAGATACCATATTCACAGATAAATCACAAATTCAACTGTCTCGGTTCTTTCAGTACTTGACCATACACAATACTCAAAAATCAAAAAGTGAAAACACTGTTGAAATATGAGCTGGTAATGACTAAGTGAACACAGCCAAGGAGAAAACCTTCTGCTCCTTCTAGGGATATCCAGTTGGAATAACAGATGTAATATAGAAATATTATATTACTACAATTAACACATTTCAAATACTTCTGGTTTTGGTTTTTTATTTTTTAGATGCATTTATTTTGTAATTTTAGAAGGTACTTACACAAGTTTTGAAAGAAAAACCTTAAAAAAAAAATGCTTAAGCTGACTATAACAATAATTAAAAAATTTCCCACATTCTATACAATTATTCTTTTTCATTACTATTTCTAAGGCTGGAGAAAAGGGAACCATAGACTGTGCATTGATTTTGCTGCACACATCCAAAACACTCTCCTGCAGCACAAGTAACAGAGACTGGCTTCATACAGACATGTGTCCTTTGTGCCCTAATGTCCTTTCTGCCTGATGCTCTCTGTACATCCAGATACACTCAACCATTTTTCATTTCTCTCTGACATCACTCCACAAAAAATTCAGATTCTCTGGCTGTTCTGCAGACTCCAGCAATCCTGACTGACCAGGTGACTACTGTGAAACAGTACAAAAAGTTACGTACCCTAGCTTTTTTGAAAGTATTATCATCAACTCAAATCTGTCTCCTCTACCTAGCCAGCAGTTTTTGATTTTCATTCTCTTATGTCTCCCCTTCTGTAAAAAAAATTAATTAAAAAATAAGAGGGCCAGTATATTCAAAAGGAATAAAACATGTGAAGAAAGTTCAAATGTATGTAAATTTAGTTTTCATAGGGAACAGTTCTGAAAATCAGCTACATAAAAGAGCATAAAATCACTAGATCTAGGAGGCTCCTAATAATTTTTTTTTCATCCACTTACATATTTGTAGCAGAAAATAGAACTGCAAAACAGTATTCAGGCTATACTCCTTGGACGAAGGAGGGGAACAGATAATTGTGTGCAACATCCCTTAATCTCTTTGCAGTAAACAAGGATGTGAAATAGAACATGGTCAAGACAATTGGTCCGTGCTAAAATGGTGAAGTACTGCCTAATCCAGTTCCTTCTCAGACCAAGAATTTGACCCATGTGAAAAAAAGTGTGCTACTGAACCATATTTACTTCTTAGTAAATTGACTGACATCCCACAGTAATTTCACAATGGTAACTAAGGGCTTCACTGCCTAAATACAGATACTTGTAAACATTTTTGCTAAGCTGAGGACACCAAATATTTAAAGTCCACCTATTTCTTTGAAAATACAAATTATATGCCACAAACTACCACTAGCTTGGACTGAGATTGATGAGTGATGCAACCCTTGCTGGAGACAATTACTTATTTGGCATTCAACTGCCTGTTATTTTTTTTAAATGGCAGCCTTCCATACTGAAATGCATCAGTAAAATAGGGCTGAAGAAAACACAATGGAACAGAGAAGACACCAAGTTTAATATCCTAATGGGAGAAGGTCACTGGAAAGGACTGAACTTATTGCTGCTGGTCTGCATCATTGACAGATGTTTCCCAATCCCATGGCAAGTTGCTCTTAAGGAACTATACTGAAGCATTGTCAAATACATTAAAATGTAGCACTAAGATACCAGTGAACCTCAGCGTGTTAACGAGAACTGAATTTTTTCACATATTTTACTAAAAACACTGTAAGATGGCTACACGTCTCTTTGGCACATCCTGGTCCATGCATAATAACATAAAATATGTGTCTTGATCTCTCACTGAGGATAAAGTGCTCAAGTGGATCCTCATATATTCCTACATGGTCATTAATCTTTAGTCTTAAATGTTATTTAAACTTGTTTTAATGGGAATTGTCTCCTTAACAAATCACTAGAATTATTTAGCAGAAACTTCAGCTGAAAGATCTTTAATATGTGGAGAAAAGTCCAACTATTTTCTCATTTAAAATTTGTTTTGGAGGAGCTTACAGAGGGGGGAAAAAAACTAAACTGCCACATTATTTTTGCTAGTAATTTTTTGTATAATAAATTGTCAAGTTTTATTTATGTCACTGTTATAAAGCAAAGAATTCAATCCAGACAGAGCATCAAGTTATTTTTGCCCATTTACATAAGACCTTTCACCTTATCCTCAGTGTGGATAAAATGTATCACGCCCATGGAACACAACATAAAGGAGATAAGAAACAGAGTGAACCAGCTTCTGATCTAAATATGGAGGTAAACCAAATTGCAACAGAGGTAAAACTAATAAAATCAAATATGTACAGGTGATGGAATATGCCCAGTTCTCTGGAATCAGCGATTTGTGAAACACAAGATTGCTGGGGTTGTGCTGTTCTTCCAACAGGAGACTGTCCAATCACACGTGAACTCTAGAACTCATCTGTTCCTACTTAGCAGAAATATTTTTGTCATTTTCTCCAATTCATTTTGAAACTATGCAAATGCCAGTGCAATTGAGTACCTTGCAGTTCATGGCGGTTACATTTTGTGGAAATTTAAAAGAAATTCTTTGTTGAGTTCTACTGGAGGCTGAAACTGCAGTTTTGATGAAAAATTCCAGAAGACAAAAGCTTTTTTTAGACAGCTTTTACCACAAGAAAGCTTGAGTGAAACAGGTCTTCCTCAAACAGTCCCCTTTAAGTTTTTTCCATGCATCATCTGGTGACAGTAACTGAATTAGGATAAAATTCTGAAGCGGACATACAATTAATTTTGACCAGAATGGAAGTTGTTACGTTCAACATAGCAGCAGTTTTCTTTCACAAAGAACAGAAAAATGGCTCTAGGTCATCTGTTTTTAAAGTTGTCACATCTGCAGATTTCAGTTCTTTCCTTTCCATTCCACAGAGAAGAATCTGCATTATTTTCTGCGTAATATTTTCTTTTCCCTAGATATCACTCACTTTTCTTTAACAGAACTAGTTAATCAACATTTTAATCTGAAAGTATATTTTAAGATGATACTAGCAGCTGTTAATATACTAATTCTACATCTATGCAGAAGAATTTCAAAAACATCACTATACTGATAACTTTTGCTACTTTAAGTTTTTGCTATTCTTCCAAACACGATGAAAAATTGCAATTAATTTAAATAAACTGCTGGACATTCAAAGTGACACTTCTTGACTTTTTACTTCTGTTTTTTAATTCAAGCCTGAAAAATTAGACGCCTGTGATTAATTGATGCTTAAGAGTTACTATTCAGTTCTAAGTGAGTGGAATAAATCTAGATATTCTTGTAGGATATAAGAGATATTTTAAAAGGTTTGTTGATTTTCACGTTTTGCATGTTACTGTTAAACATAATGATAATCTTAAATAAAAAATGCGAACAGTATGTTAAAGAGCCAGGATTACCTAGGATGAATACTTACCTTTCTCTTAGAAAGTCTGCTAAGTCTTTTGTTGACAAATGTCCATGCTTCATGTTGTGATAGAGGACGTCAAAGCCATTGTTCCTCTCCCCCTAAAGATTAGTAACAACACAGCAGAACTATGAAACACAACATGCTAAAGCAATTACAGAACAAAGTATGACCTATGCTTTTTAATAACTGTTCCATGAAGTGAGCAATTTCTAGTGCTTCAGCTTTTATCGGTTGCTGTCAGTTCCCTTCAAACCCCTATATTTAGAACAAACTACTACTACCCTTCTAATGACAACTCTTGTATTACATATTTCTTGGCTATAATCAAAGTAATTTATTTTCTAGATCCCTACAGGACTGCATTTTTTCACTTCCCATCTTATTAAACACATACTTAATACTGTACTCTCTCTTCATTCTCTCATATCTTTCATTATTTTCCATAAACTAAATTTCATGCTTTGGGATCACTGGATATTCTGCTTCCTCAATTCTTCGTAACTCATGCACCTTCCACTGCATTTTGTAAAACTGGTTAAAAAAATCACTAATCTTTTCCTTCTCACTGGTAGCTTCCCTTTGACTATTCTTAAGTTCAGTCATTAAACTTAAAAGTGTTTTCCAGTGAGTAAGGCATACCTCACCATTAAAACTGAGACACTGCCCTGAACACTGATTAATAAACTCAGTTAGCTTATCACCTCTGGTGCTATGACCAACTTCCACCAGACAGGAGAAACCAACACACTGATCAAAACATACTTCTGAACTTTTAAAAATGGGAGCTTTTATGGGGACTTCTTTATATTCATATATAGAATATATATGAATATAAAGATTCATATTCATATGGGAGCTTCATAAATTTCCTGCCGATTCAGAAATACAGGAAGGGTAGCATAGCCATGACCCAGCCTTTGGCTGCAGCCTTCCTGATTGCTGATAACCTGTTCTGAAATGTGACTTTGCAAACCTTTAAAGAATGGAATGAGCCAGAACAACAAAATCCCATCATCATCTTATTCCCTAACTGTAATTGAAGGTTACTGCAAAGGCACTAATTTTTCCACCTAAATGAAGCTTTCCAGTCAATCCTATTATTGTTCCTGACTTCACACTGAATAGCATAAAGCACAACAGAGAAACAGAACAGATAATTTCCGCGACTAAAAAAAGTCCCCTGAAAGCCACTTTTTTTATACATTATCAATAGTTAACAGAGGCTAAGGGGCTATGCAAAAAATATATTAAGGCAGCAAGCAAAGCAGCAAGTCCAGAGCAGGCTGCCAGATTTGAAAGCCTACGTGGTTTAAGCTTGGCAGAATTAAAAGACATATTTTCACTTGTGAATATAATGTCAAGTGTAGCCTGCCTTACAAGTAACAGGCTCTTACTTACAAACAAACCCACCTATACATCAAAACTGTTCAGTAATTTATATGATCAAGAGTTCTGATGATTAACTGGATGACAGTTCTATAAATTACCTTCCACTCATGTTTGGACACATAGGTGTACCTATGTCAAATTAAGTATGGTATCTCAGTACAGGGAGCGGACACATTTCTGCTTATGAAGCTATATAGCCTATCCACAACTCTTTCATTCAGTAGTCAGGCTTATGAATAGTAGCTCAAATAATTCATACAACACACATCTGAGTTAAGGTTCTGTATGTGGGATGAAGATGGAGATAAATGCTGTGGCTACGAGGAAAAGCAGCCCACTTTACAAAATCCACGTGTGTATCCTGTTATATGCACATATACCATCAATACTGTTTGTTTGTGTTTTGGCTGTTTTTCCTTAACATTGTCCCTCGCCACACACATTGTATAAAATTCTGTACATGGAAATTGTGTGTCTAGTCAATTTTTCTTCATGAAGAGTTTTTACCTGCTCCTTCCTGGTGGCAACAGTAATAGCTGAGATCACCAAAAGCCCAGTACCAGGTTATTTAAAAATAAATAAATGAAGCTCATAGCAGGAGGAATTGATGAGACCTTCTCCTCCCATTCAGAAGCAATTACTAGCCACTGCTACAACAGACAGTGAAGTCAGATGCAGATTTTTCTAGAAGTTGCATCTTGGAGAAAGAGGAACCTCTGTTGCCACATATAACATCAGGTCCTACGCAACAGACTTCCAGATCAGTTTGAAAGATAATTTCTGAATGTCATTTTGCAGGTGGAACACCATTTGTTGAGGATGATCCTGTCATTACTCAACAGAAAACAACAGTAAAACTGTTTAAGAATGCAAAATCAAGCAGTCCCTTTTAACTTTGAAGTTCATCGGCAGTTTTCTGCTTCCCCAGAGCTAACAAAACTCTCCCTTGAGAAGCTGGTGTTCTTGTTAAGGTTTTCCCATTTTACACTGCTGTAAGAGAGCTCTTTTGTGTATAAAGTGTAGATGTCCCCTGACAGCAAGCCCTAGGAGGAAGCAAGATTTCAAATACAAGTAAACACTTCACTTAAGTAAGCCTACAGTGAGCCATTACTGACTGACTTTACATACAAAACAAATTAAGTCACGGATAGCAAGGACAGACAGTCCTTCCATTTCCCTTCATCAAGAGCTAACTGCAATGATTTTCTCATGGAAATGAAAGTAACCCTGTCAGCAAGTGTGAAGTTAGAATTCAGCATTTCCATGACTTGTGCATAACAGGAAACAGATTACAGGAACTCTGTGTTACCAAACTACTTAACAGACTTAAAAAAAAAAATTTAAAAAATAAAATAAATAAATAAAATAAAATAAATTGAGAATAAGTTCATTACTTGTAAAGATGATTCTGGGTTTAAAATCTACATTTGGTGAAGTAGCCAGAAATTCCAGGGCAATCTGCAGCAGTATTTGTTTCCTGTGTTTTTAATCAAATTGTATGAATGCAAGCTCTGTCTACACTGGACTAAAACTGTTCAAAATTAACGTCTCCTAGTGTAAAATATTAATAATGACTATCATACCACTGTCTTTTTACCCAGTATAAACAAATGTTTTTCAATTACTAAGGTGATTGTAAAGTTCTGATGACTGGTCAGATTAGTACTACTTCTTTAGCTAGTGTGAGAGGCAAGGAAAGAACAGCTACAAATACTGTTTTCACAGCAATATTAAGTATATGAGACAAATAGAAGGCACATGCAATTATTAAACACATTTTGATTTTGGACAAACTTGTAAAGCCTGGTAAGAGAACTTCAGACAAAGTTTAACTTTTTCTAACTCAGTTAGCAAGTAAATGTTTGACAGTAAGTGAATTACTGTCATTTCAAACTGTGCTTTTAGAACATGCACTAGCTATGGTTAAGCATGCATGATCATTACTTCAGCCTTTAAACATGACCACATCACTAAATTACAGAAAAGAAATGGAATAGACTGAGAAAAATGTACTTTTGATTATAAATTAAGCCATAACCTCTCTAACCCTCTTTTTAAAATAGCCTTCCAAACTCACAACTTATTCTCTAGGAAACAGCCAGACTAATACTCAAACTGCACCATTTGGAAGTGGTACTCCAATTTGATTATAGGGTTTCTTTTTAACAGTTCAAAAAGTTCAGGTCCCTAATTTGCTTCAGATCATCATAAAAAGAAAAGTGGACCATCTCCATATGAAGTTTCCAAATCCTAGTTAAAATCCTTCGGCAAACATGATATATCAATGAAATATGACCAACATCCCCCACCTTGTTAGATAAATGCTAGATAAGAAAATCCCAGAGGGGAAAAAAAACACAAACCAAACAAAACAAAAACCCACAAAAAACAATATGTGAAATAGAATTGTTTCAGTTTTGGAAGCTAGAGTAGAAGAATGTGTATCCTTTGCCTCTTGTTTTGGTCAGGTCCAGAAAAATCAATGGCATCAAAATCTTTTTGGTAAAAAAAAAAAAAAAAAAAAAAAAAAATCAAGAAAATTCCAGAGTTGCATCAATATGCCAAGAAATAACTATAGATAATCCATTAATTGGGGGTGGGGGAGCAAAAGTCCCTCACATAGGTGAAATTCAGTATTTGCTGAAACCAGACACAACTGTTCATCAACTACATGACTTGGTTTATGCAGCTTAAAAGATACCCTATTTTAACAAATAATGTAGAAATTTTAGTGCCACAGAACAATAGAGACTGAGTGTTCATTCCTGCAATTCTAAAATTAAAGTTCCAAGTATTAACACAAACCAATCTCTTCTTTACCTGCAAACTTAGAAAGATATACACTGTTCATCACTGTTTGTCTATCTGCACTATTAATTTCTTTTCAATCACTCATAAAGGAGTAATTTTTAAAATAAATACATCAATAGAGATTCTTTCAGCTCCAAGGATATGTGAACTCATTTTAGATGCTCTGAAAAACATTGCTGTAATTCTCTTTAAACAGTTAGTCCTTGTTGCAGTTTCAAATAAGAAAACACGTGTTTCATCCTTTCCACCCAGGCAATTAACTTATGGGCCCTCTCTCCATGAACATACTCCTGTGGTTAATATTATGGTGTTACATTTTTGAAAGCCAGCTATCAATAAATTTCCATTTCTGAGAGTCAGAAAGAGCAACAGAAAACTGATGGCACTGAAACAGGGAAAAAAGCAGTCACCTTATGTTTACATAAGCAACAGATCTTCTTCAGTTCTGAAAGTTTTTGGGAAGTCTGAGCACAAAAGCTACCTGGCAATTTCAATTTCCTTCTTCCAGCTTCAATAAATTAATATCAGCTCCATAAAAGCTCTGCGCATATAAGGAAGGACAGGTATTTTCCTTTGTATCTTGATAATTGAACATATTTTTGGACAAAAATATGGAAATTTGCCAACTCATGCTAGTTGCACACGCATGGAGGGAGGAGACTACGCAAATATTGCACAACAGCTCTCCTGAAACTGAGCGCCAAACTGCATGCCAAGAACTGTGCGAACATATGAATGGAACTCCAGATGGAAGCGTGACAAGTTGTCAAGTCTCAGTGTTACTCATATCGCACGTGGAAGACAATAATACCTCTCACACTCACTAGACCAAGCCTCCTCTGGAAGCTAAGATTATTGACCCTGGATTAACCACCAGCCCTTAACGTGTTGC